GAACTCATACAAGGGAAAAAACTATGTATGTGGTGAATGTGGAAAAGCCTTTATCTGGAACAGTGCTTTCATTGCTTATCAGTGAACTCCCACTGGAGAGAAACCCTGTGTATGTGGTGAATGTGGCAAAGGCTTCACTCACATAGCACATATTGGAGGAACTTCCATGAAAATGGCGACGGAATGACACATGCCAGAGGGACTCTGCAGAATGCAGCCCAGAAGAGTTGCTTAGAGGGAATTTTAACACAATTGGACTGCAGCAGGAGCACCATAAAGTAAGTAGGCACAGACCCACAGGGTTTTGAGGGGCTTGGGGCTTTTGGCTTACCTCAGTGGAAGCCAGCTTGGGCTTGACCTTGGCCCTGCCACTGTCTCTGCTGGAACCGGGACCATTTGGAGCCCGTAGGGGGATTTGGGTTCAACACAGCCACAATTTATCCCCGCCAGCCTCAGGTCAGGAACTGGATGCCTGGGGCTCCATGGGCGGGGATCAGGGTTCAGATACTTTGTAGTTTTTGTTTACATCTCTGCTCTCTGTTCTCCCACAGCCTGGCAGGCCTGTGCAGGGGCTTTTTCTGGGCACAGCCACAGTTTGCCACTGCCGCCTCAGGGCGGGGACTAAACCCTCGCAACTCCACAGGCAGGGATCAGTGATAGATCGGGTTTCAGCTACGTTGTTGCTTCTGTTTACATCTCTGCTCTTTGTCTGCCCACACCCCCACGGTCTTTGAGGACTGCGCAGGGGCTTTGTCTTGGCTCAACTGCGGCAAAAGCGGCTTGCCGCCGCTGCCCCAGGGTAGGGACTAAACTCTTGCAGCTCCACTGACGGGGAGTGGGACTCAGCTACACAGTTGCTTTTCTTTCCCTCTCCTCTATATTCCCCTCCCCCCACAGTCTAAATGGTCTTAGTTCTTTTTTTTTTCTTTCTTTCCCCTCTATCTCTTTCCTGTTCTCTCACACTCCACTGCTGACCTCCAGACCACCTTCAGTAGCCTAGGGCACTTAGGCCTGTACCACACCTAGCTAGCTGAGCTCCACCCTGTGTAGCTAGCCCAAGGCTAGGGAAAGCCCTGCTTCCCTTCCAGGGGATACCCCGCCCAGTCACTCTCTGGGGAATTCCTGCCTGTGTACCTAGGGGCATAAGGCAGCTCGGCCAACACCCATAACCATTCCAAGCTGTTGCAGGAACCTCTGCCCAACCTCCACAACACCAAATCAGGCAACCACCAACCTTCTGGGGCACTCCCCTGATAGGGAAGCCACAGGAAGATAAAGGGGTAGGTTAATACCATAGTAACAATTAGCTGTAGGCAGTTCGAAGAAGCATTCTGAAAGTCTCCTAGAGAGAGCCAGTGCTCTTAGACTCCCTAGAAAATGGCACCTGTCTCCTCTAATACAATGCATCGCAAACAGCCATCAGCCCGAACCACCTCAACAAAAAACAGGAGGAAAAAAGGCAATGGTAGAATATATCCAGAACATAACAACATACATAGAAGAAGGAGATATTGAGCTGCCAAAGAAAGAAATTTTCAGAATGCTACTTGAAGTCATACAGGATATGAGGGAAACAATCCAGAAAAAGGATGAAATGATCGAAGAGATAAAGGCCATACACCAAAGGGAAATAAAGGAGCTTAGGGAGAAGATAACAAAAACCAATAGTAGAAACACAGAGCTTGAGAATCAACACGAGGAATCAGAGAAGCGCATCAGTGACTTGGAGGACAGCCAAGCAGACTTCAACAAACGCGAACAAGAATCTAATAAGATCATCAGAGAAG